ATGAAGGTTACCGTCTGCTGGGTAGCAAAGGCATTACACATCAGACCCACATAGCCAACTCAGATCAGCTTTGTGTGTTCAGTGGCATTACAATTTAGAGGTAAACAGCAGAGTGATGTCAATATGTTATGACCTGATATGCCTCACAGAGTACAGGAGGCTCATGAGACCTTTTAAAAACGTGAAAGAAAACATCATATGTCAGTACATCTACACCTGTTGTAAGTAATCGACTTGGGCATTAACCTGAAATTGCATTTGGATTGAATTTAACATCAGAGTGTGTTATTTCATATACTCATGTTGAATCTGTTAGGGTATGGATTCCCAGAAATTTTGTCTGGCAATGGTGCACTGTTCAGCATCCCGGACCAGAAAATATTTGTATGGAATGAAGGATTTTGACGTGACATACAATTCAAATATCTTGAATTACAAGCTGAGTTAAAACTGTTAAAAAACAGTTTGAGTAATTTGTGAAGGTGAGAAGTGATCCATACTTTCACAAAACTTGAGAGGAATGTATTTAAAATGGTTTGTTGACAGCTGAAACTTTGTTAAGCAGAGAGACCCAGTATTCCCAATTTAGTCCATGTAACATTGGAGGATGCAATGGGTCTGAAACACAAAATCAATTGCTACCAGCCCACCGAAGCCATTCAATAATTTAGATTTTTTTACATTGTATGCTGTTTGCATACACAGTGGTGCTTCCTGGACCCTGAGGAAATTATTCTTTGTTCATATCAAATGTAAACTCCAAAAGGATGGATTCAGAGGAGAAATAATTGGCAAGGAAAATATTATTGTATGGATTGTACAAAACTTACGACTTCTTGAAAACAAATGGAAAATCAAGAATCCTGTAATGCTGTGAGAAGAAATACAGCACCAGCAACTGGAGCTGAGAGCAGATGCCTCTGAGGAGGAAAGACTTGCTGGGTGCTACTAAAAAGTAGATAAGATTTAGCATGTTCCAGGTTACCCTTATTCATACAAAGAAGATGTAAAGGTTTGGATGCTTGATGATTGATGGTAGCTTACCGAGGAGCAGAACGAGCTAGTCTGAGCTGCTAGATCCTCAGACCAGCTCACTGAGAAACAGAGGCAGTTGTGCTTGATTGTGTGCCCTACACAGCTGTACTTCGTTATCACTGTCATACACCTTTTATACTGTAAATCCTGATTGCCTCAAGAACCCAGACTCCATGCTCTCTGTACCCTGGGGCTGTCAGAAGGAGCAATCCCAAAGCAAATGGAGTGCAGCTGTAGTTATTAACCCAGATAAAAACTTGTCATTTTTACCATAAGGGTATTTGCTTCTAAGTGCTGAATATATGTAGCTAATTTATGTATACTTGGTAATCTACATCAAGCTATAGTTTGCAATTATTTTGATCTTTCATTGATCTTAAGTGACTGCACCAGCTGAAAACATGCAGAAAGGAAAGATATTTGCACCTGCCTTATCCTCCTGAGCCCAAATGTGGAGAGGCTTCTGTTGAATCAAAAGGCAGAGAGGGATATTACTTGGGTTTCCAAACTTTGATCAAAAGGTCCCTGATGTCAGTGAAATATAAGAGACAAAATAAAGTGAGAGGAAGAGTCAAGATTTTCAGGCCTGGATTCAATCATTTGTAAGAAGCTGTAAATATGTCAGAGAAATATTAAGGTGCTGATCCAAAGTCTCCACGAGTCAGCAGAAGCTCTGCACTTCTTCCCTTGGTCATGAATCAGGCCCTGTACTTCTGCAGGTGTTGCTCAGGTCTGACTCTCTTAAAACAGTTCTTCCTACTATTTCAAAATTCCAGGGGCTTCCAATTGCTGGAAGTATGCTGCTCAACATAATTTTATCAGCTGTACCAAGTGTTTTATGAGTGATCAGGAAAGTCTCTTTAGGCTGGATGTGGCTCTGGGCAGCCTGGTCTAGTGGTTAGCAACCCTGCCTATGGCAGGGGGGGTGAAGCTAGATGATCTTTGAGAGCTTTTTCAACCCAGGCTGTTCTATGATTCTGAAACAGAAGAGCGTATTTTCTATCTGCAGTTCTGGATGAGGAGAGGAGCCAGTTAATCACTGAAGTAGCATTCGTTTGCAGCAGAAGGCTTTAGCCACACTGTTCCACATTCAAGTTAAAAAGGGGTGAGGGAGGGATGAGGTTTATTTGTGAACAATTTGGCACTCTTTGAATAAATTATATGAACTTCCCACACAAGAATAAGATCAAAATCTTTCTCTGCCCCTTCACCCCTATTTTGTATATTTCTTTGTATCTTTTTCATCTGATTCAACAAATGAGCTAAAATAAACATCTGTTCCCTTTCTGGGATAAATTTAGGGATTACTTCCAAGATTTCAAGAAGGCCTTTCATAAAATGGATAAAAATAATGATGGCTATGTAACAGCATGTGACCCACAGAGATTTCTACAAGAATTCAACTATCACCCTGATCATGATCAGTTCAGCAGTCTTCTAAATAGGTTTGTATGATTATCTGCTGAGCATCACTTTGGTCACACCCATAAGCTTGTACTTAGTGTTAAGGATATTAGAAGGTCTGACAAAGCTAATGGAGAGGCCCCATGCTTAAAACTCCATATGGGTGAAAAATGGTTTTAGGTTGGGTACTGGCTCTGCAGGTAGTGAGAGTGAAAGGGCTGCTTACAGAAAGATGGTGTGCTTTGAATCTGCGTATTTGTTTGCTGGTTTTATGTATTTATTTCACTGTAATACAGCAAACAGGTGAAAGGGACCCTGTTCAAAACAAAAACAGAAATAAATCAGGTTATAAAATAGCAATAACATTCAAAAGATCCAATACTGCTGCCATGCAGCTTTTAATTCTGCATGTTAAAATGAGAGGAAAATTCTCCTGATAGAGGCTGAGGAACACAAAGGACCTGTTCCAGCATTGGGTAGTTGGGGTTCTCTGCCCCAAACAGCCCCCCAGAGGCCACAAGCCTGGCAGCACTCAGTTTTGTCCTCCACAGCCTGTCAAACGAGACTCTTTTTTTGAAACAATGTTAACAAAGTCTTTTTACAGTTCACCTTTAATTGGGTGATCAACTTTTTATGAATTGAAACCTTAATAGGAATCTGCTGCTTGTTTCTTTCTCAAAGACCTCTTGATGATAAACACCTCCATTCATTGTAATTTTGTGCAGATTATTCCTTTCTTGATCCAAAATAGTCTTTTCTAAATAATACAGAGTAGATTAGCATATGCATTTAGTTTTATTACTAAAATTTTAATGCCCACTTGGCAATTTATTTCTCAGCTGAAATGGTGTTGATTATTTCCTTTTCCACACACTGTCTCCAATATTGGAGCCAGCTTGACATGGGTAGTATGTGGGAGTGCTGTGCAGCTGCAAGATGCAAAATCAGGGCTCTTGAATATTTTTTTTTCTTGGTAGCAGATATGGGGTCTATAGTTAATTTCTTTTCCAGCCTGTTTCATAAAGCTTCCTCTTTGTTTTACTGGCTCTCCCCATTAATTAGACATTCTTGTAACTGGATATTCTGGTGATTGGTAGCTGAGGCATTGGTCCCTGGTGATTTACTGTGGAAGCAGATGATGAAAGTATGTTACAGTAATTCATTTTTACACAAGAAAATCAGGCTTGCTTAGTGGAGATATCTTCTCTGTCAAGGCTTGGCTCTCTAGGACTTGCCTTGACCATTATTCTGACCAAAAAAAGCTTAAAGCAAAACTAAAAACTCCCAGCCTTTCCCTTGCAGCATAGGAACTGCTTACTTAATGCATGTGTGAAAATAATCTTCAGTTTTGATTAAAGTCTGTTAAAAAAAGACCTCTCTGTTGCTGATAATTCTAAGGTCAGCCTGGAATCATTTCATGGAAGCCAGTGAACCTGCATGAAAAAGTCCCAAAATACACTGTAATCTGAAGACTTTCGTTGTCTTTGAATGATAGAAAATTCTGTAAGCTGACTACACTGGATTTGTACTGGGTAAGGGTAGAGCAAGCTGCTGCTATTGTACTCCCTTGTGGTAATGAATTCTACAGGCTCATTAGGCAGGTTTGAAGTCCTTGCTTAAAATACACCAGGTGTCTTTTCATTAAGTGGTCATGAGTCACAGGACATTGCAGGAAAGTAGCTTTTCATGTTATGGTTAATGCTACTCATTTCATCTTAATCTTTCGTGCTAAATAACCCTTATTCTCACATACTATCTGCATATGTGAAACTTGCCTTAATTCTAGACTTTTTACAGGAAACTATCCATCACTGAATAAAAATTAATTTAGTTTGGTAACTCAAGTTCTCTGCACACATACACACACACAAAAAAATATATATCCCAAAATCATATGCAAGAGCTCATCTTTTCCCATGGTGATATTTGATGCAAAAATACATTCACTGTTGTTACCTGGAGCTATCTGTAGTCAGCTGTGTATCCCACTCAGTTTCTGATGTGACAGAACAGGAAAATCCCCAGTGTCCCTGATCTAGCAGATGTTTCAGCAGACATAAATCCAGCAAGTCGTGCATGCAGTCTGCACAGCCCTTGGGCTGGCCTTCTAGGTACTGTCTGACCACAAGTGGTCTGCTCAGGATCCCTTACTGATCATGGGGCTTCGCAAGGCTGCAGCTGTGTCCTCTGGCCACATCAGTGATAACAAGCTCAGTCACAGACTGTGATCAGAATACTCTGCTGTGCTTCAAAAGCACCATGTTAATGCGGATGGACTGGAAGGTTGTGTGCTTGGGCCCAGGCTAAAGCAGGTCTCGAGCATCTGGAGACGGGTTGGACTCTTCACCTGGGAGCACACTTGCATTTAATTGATAGGATTGGTGACTTAGACCTGAGAAAGCAGTTGGGCTGGAGCTAACAGGATTCATGCACTGACAGCACAAACATATCCTGAAGCACTGCTGCAGTACAAATAATGCATCATAATAATTAATCAGTGCAGACAACAGTGAGATAATTACTTAAAATCATTGATATCTCAGTCTGTGTTTTTCCCTTAGCTTAGGAATCAGCATTCATGACAGCAAGCTCTCTTATTTTGATTTCCTGAGAGCAATTGATGATGGCAGAGCATCTAAATACCAACAGAGACAAAAGCAAGAGACACCACCTGCAAGCTTTGCAGCGCTCTGCTTAAAGCAGACCCTAATTAAGATAAAAGAAATAGTTGCATCATCTTGTGATTTGTTGTACAAGGTAAGTTTCACGTGGTCATTGCATTTTTTTAATTCTCTTTTTTCTGCCTGGCTGGAGACTAGTCCAAAGGCTTCAGAACTATTCTACTATTAATTGAGTGTTACCAAAAACCTTGGCCTTTGTAGGAGCAGCATCTTCAGACAACTGCAGACTTTTTAATTGATGATTCCATTCTGGTAACTCCACACAACAAACAAATCAAATGGAGCCTCAAGGTTTTGTGAAGATAAGTATTGGAAAGGAAAAAGAAAAAAACAGCAAATTATCTGAAGCTCCCTCTTCCCCAAAACCCCTTTGCCTCCTCTGATTTTCTATAAACTACATGGCAGGCCTGTGAATGTCTAGTCTTTTGAATATCTCTGTTGATTTTCCTAAGCTGAAACTTACTTTAGGTAGATATAATGCGCTACTGCAGGCAGGCATTATGGCTTTATCAGCGTGAGATGAAAGAGCATGTAGCAACAGAAGCTGCAGACATATGATCAGATGAGAAGACATTATAGTGGCTGCAGAAGTTAGCACCTGTCAGCCGGGCTTCTGCAGCTATCTGCATTTATGCACTTGGCCTCTCCTGGCTCTGACACAGACAGATAAGGCGCATTAGCTGTCGAGCAGCAAGCTTCCTGGTTTTCCCATCTGTAAAATGAGGATGATAAAAATAACCCATTTTCTATAGAATTTTGAAAGCCCTGAATGAGAAAACGCTATTAAGTAGACTTAGACTGTTGTGTTGGAGTCTACTGAAATGCAGCAGCCTCGAGAGTAAATAGTTCTTGATGCCACAGTTAGATTTTTTTTCAAGCGTGGAACAGAATAATCAAAAAGACCTTGAAGGAAACATTCCTGCCACAAAGAAATGTAAAGCCATGACATCTCCCCTGCAGCTTCAGGTCCAGTTTAAGCTCGTGGTCTTAGGGGCAGGCTTCTGTCTCACTGCTCCCGTATCCCCAGCAATATGGTCCTCCCATCGGCCTTGTGTCAAAGCCAGTGCTTATGTTCCTGCCCAGTGATGCAGGTCGGGAGCTTCAGCCTGACAAAAGCCTGAGAAGTTGTGTGTGGCTACAGGAAAGCAGCTGCCAGCACAAGGGAGGGGAAGGAAACAGTGGCTGGGAACATGATGGGGGTTGAAGTTTCTTTTCATCAATGATTGCATCTGTGAAATCTCAATCTCTGGGCTCTGTCCTGCAGTTACAAACAACATAGGCTTGCAAAAAAGACATCACTAATGATGTCACAGCTACAACTGGAAAAGAACACAGAGCCATGGGAGATGCTATTTCTTTACAGAAATCTCTTTTCATGATGTTTGGAGACCCCTGTCATGCTGTAAACTTCCTGGGGCTGTCTTGCCATTTTTGGCCACTAACCACTGGACAGGACATTGAAGTATTCATGATTATTTTGTATTTTTCACAGTAAGGGAAAAAAAATATCATTGATGTGCTCTGCATTATTGAGATAAGAAGCAGATAAATAGAATAGCACAAGTTGGTGTTTGTTATATTTTAATAGGATGCACCCAGCTTCAAAAAGGACAGTAGTATCTGTACTGTCAGCCCTAGGTGCTTTGGAAATAGGGAAAGTCACAGTTTTGTCTACTGAAGGTATGAGATGAAAATTATTTTTGATATGAACAAATAATTCATTCGATCTTTCAGGATATCATTTGGTGTTATCCTCACTGTAAAGACTGACTCATTTTCTCCATGGAGAGCCAGACTGTTGTGTAAAAGCAAAACTTTTTCTCATTCCCTTTATATGAAAGAGTAAGTAAATTATCCCTTTGTTTCTGACCCATTTTTTTGAGTAAAAGTCCCTCCTTCCTACATGATGGGGGTTTCTAAGAACAGAAGCTTAGGAGAAAGTATTTAGTTAGAAAGAGGCAGATCTGAAAGCACAATTCCTGGAGTCCAGCTAGTTGAGAAGAGAGAACATCCCATCTCATCCATGACATTTCTACAACTGAATGCAAGTCTCTGAAGTCTTATAACAAATAGTTTAAGATTTCCTAGTGTTCACAGGATTCCTTTGGATCCAATGTCCTTTGGATATAGCGGTGTTTGCTTTACTGCTATGCTTCATGTCCATTAAAATGTACAGTTTTAAGCCCATTATTTAGAACAGTTCTAGTGCTAAAACTTGCTGTGTTACACTAACAAGACACCTTGTTAGCTGAGTAGTATGACCTTAATATGAAGTTTTGAAAGGTGTAATCATCTACATTTTTTTCAATGAGTGGTGCACACGTGCAGCATCACTAATGAGGGACAGAACAGAATGAAGGGGCATGGTTAAGTTGGTAGCATCCAGGCAACCTGGGAGTGAGTATGAGCCACAACTTGTCCAGACCTCAGCATTTTGGCCACTCATCTGTACTATTCATGTCACCTGCTGGAACTGTGCTGGATCTAGCCTACTTACCCAGGGAAACATGTGGAAATATTCCATGAAGAACAGGCTGGGCACTGCACGTAAGGAAAAATGAGAACAGAGCAAACAAGTCTTCACGATGAGCTGACACTAATGAGAAGCAAGGACTGCTGAGTCCTTTAGGGAGTAGGCAGAGGAAAATAAATTTGCTGTACTAGGAACTCTTTTTGGGAACAAAAGGCAGATCAAATATGCTCAGGCAAATTTCATTAGAAGTATTTCTAATTAAAAATATATTAGGCAGACCTCAAATATTTTTGTTCGCTTCCTCTCTTGTCTTAAGCACTGCCTGTTCCAGAATGTTTGGATGCTTTGTGTGATTCCTTGTTGTTTTTACTGCAGGTTGTTGTTTATTTGCATATTTATACTTACATGTGGCACAGAAACACAGGCTATTTTTGGATTATTTCAACAATTGCTGTTCATTTTTGGAAGAATGGAAAACTTCAAACTAAGTAAGGTTCTGGAAAATGTTTTTTGTTTCTTTGTGTCTGAAACACCCATAAGGAAAGGCATGTGGATCTCATTTCCATAGGAACTGCTAAATGGATACAAAACCAGACTTCTCTTTTGGACTGTCTACATTTGCTTAAATACTTTGAATTCTTCCTTCTCGGGCATTTTCTCTAGTTGATAAAGGAGACACTAGAGTAATTAAAACACTAGAATTTCAGTGAGTGCTTAACCATTTCTGTTTTAAATTATCACACAAGCAGTTCAGGAACCTTCTCAAGAACCTTAACCTTTGCAAGGAGCTGACAGTAGACTGGAAAGCTTTTATAAAATACATAAACCTCCCTTCAGAGGTAACAGTAGCCGCCAAGCTATTATTTTCTTTTACAGATAAGATATATTAAAAGTGACTGGCTATCTAGGCATCCAAAATTCATGCATCTTTCAGTTGATCTCTGTTGAGGTCCACAAAACCGTTATCTCCTTACAAACTGCTCTCAGAAGTCTGGCACTCCTGTAGATTTAGGGTTACACACAGCAAGCTGAGAGCATGGCCACAGATGCTGACAGATCACCCCAGCAGGATGACATGGGATGTGGGATACCAAATATGCCTGACCTGTCTGTATGGATTGAAGGGTGGAGAGAAGAGTGCAGTGGAAGCCCACCAGGTTCTTGAGCACCAAACAGTAACAGCAGTATGGATGCAGCAAGAAGGTCAGATGTGGTGATTGGCCAAATACAGAGAAAATCTCGACTGCAGCCATAGACATTGTCTTTGGTGCTCTGAATATGTGTGCTGGAATAATTCAAATTAGAGATGCTGTTCTCTGTGGCAGAGGTTTGTATCTACAGTGTCTCAGTTTACTTGAGGCAGACTGCAGGAACAGATCCTTCAGTTCATACTCACATCATCCTTTTGTCAGGCAGAAATTCTTACTGCACTTGTAAATTACAGGAGTGTGTCAAAATATGTAAGTAAAAGAAGTTTTTATCCTATTTTAATTTCAAAGTTTTCCCCTTCCCTTTAGTTTCTTCCATCTATCTTCTACCTTTCCCAATGGGAATCAGGTATAACAGTGAATATACAGGTGTCCAAATGACATTACCTTGCAGTTCATTTCCAAATTGGGCTGAAGGCCTGTTACTAAGTAGATGACAGCTCTAAAGAAAATTACATATGCAAGTACTAGCTTTAATCTTACATTGTAAGAAGGAACTGTGTTTCATTTACAAAAATGTATGCTCGAAGCACAAATAAAATGTGGAAAATAATAATCATCACCCAGTGGAAAACCATATAAAAAGCCTAACACTTCATTGCCATGGCAATAATAGAACGTTGTGCTAAACAAATCCATGTAGAGCTATACGGTGGTTGCATTTTGTGTCATAAAGCAGAAGCTGGGAAACCAGTCAGATCTCTGTTTTAGCCTCCTCATATTTGAGTCAGAAGTCTGCCAGGGTTTGAGCGCTTCAGAAGAAAAGGAGGGATCAGACTTCTTCGATACAGGAGGACCCACGAGCAGATCCAAAAGTTTGTCCTGTGTTACAGACTTTTTTAGCGTGTTAGAGACTTTTTGCAAGTCCTTTACCAATAGGCACAGATTTACCATAGCGCTTATTATAAGTGCAGCTTTATTCAAAATTTTATAAGGTTACTGAAATGTATTTTATTCTCTGTAAATTTAGCATTAATATTTATAGTAGTGCAACTGTTACTTTGTCCTTGGTGGCAGGACTACATTTAATTATAGTTATTTATAAAATAGTTGGGAATTTTTAAATATTTATGTTTTCAGCTTGTTAAAATTAAAATGCAGCCTTAGCAGATATAACAGATCACATGGCTCTCAAATGTAAAACATTGGAATACTTTTTACAGGTCAGAAAGGGCTGCATTTCCCCATTATCCTGCTTTATGCTTATATAATTTCAGTTGCTTTCAACCAAGTCGTCCCAGCCCAAGGACCAATTGCGTGAAATACACCCATATGATTATTTTCAGAATGTTTTTGTGTTGTAATCTGCCGGCAAGCTTTCATCCTGACTTTAGAATGGATTTCTGCCTTTGCTAGGGAAGGTTTTGCTGTGATGCGTTCTCATCCTCCACACAG